CATTTTTAACAATTTTTAACATAAAACAAAATTAACAGTTTACTGCCATTTTTATATGATCAACTAAGAAAATTGATGAGATGGGAAAAATATCAACAGAGCAGTGTTAAATGTCCAATTTCTTCCATTCTGAGATTCTGAACATAGTGAATGATTGAATCTGACAAACTGCAATGATATGAGTTTTTTTCTATTTTTGAAACTTTATTACACAATACATGATAACAAGTTTACCATCTTTTTTACAAAATCAACTAACAATGTTGTAAAGATGCAGGAAATGTCAAACAAACACTTTTATGTATCTTATTAGTTTAATAATGAGACTGTTAACATGCCTAAGAATTGAATCTGAGGAAATGTGAAAAATATGCTGAAAAGTGAAAAAACAGCATAACTTCTACAATAATGGCCCGATCATACTGATTTTCGAACTTGACCTGCGTTTTATGAATATTCATCAGCTCTGTAAATATAAAGCCAAAAAGTAAAACTGCCCTCCACTTATCGTGTTTACAAGGAAAGTGCACGGCGCCGGCATCGGCATCGGCATCGCCATCGGCATCGCCATCGCCATCGGCGACGACAGACGCAGGTGATGGCAATATGTACAGACACATCTGTGTCTGTACATAAAAAGCAGTCAATATCAATCAGACCTCACTCTCATCAGTTTCGTGTTGAAGAGCCTTATGCTTTAATTCCAGAAGCACCCCAACCCCACCCCACATAAATTAAGGTTTTGTTCTCCTAAGTTTGATCTGCACTAGGTTAAAAACAGATCAGTACCTGAAAAACTTTAGGCAGCCTCTTCAACCTGGTTCCCTTAACTAGTAACAAGGAAGGTGGACCACAGCCAGTGATGTGGTACAGGAACAGTTTGAACCACACAGAGTTCACCTGTTATTTATACAAATAATATAGAAGTACAATTGCATGTCATCATAGCATCAGAATGGGAGAGGCAAAAGTTCATGTGACATGGCACAACAAAACCACAAAATGATATTTTAGTAATAACAAAACACTGAAGCCAATCACTCAATTATGAAATTGAATTTAAAAAATGTGATGTCAAGTTCCCTTTGCAAAAATCATTGAAAAAATCATCGAAAACTTTCCTTTTCAACGTTTTATACTTGATAAACAGCTAAAACTTATTTTATAACTATGTATTAAGTTCTTGTCAAATATCTTCCAATTTTTATTCCTCGGGTTAATTAGCTTTGTTTTTCATTTGAATACGATTAACAAAAAGCTTTCAAATGTGATACAGTCACTTGCATACGTGTATAAGAACATGTGATGTGAAAGTCACACAAACACACTTTCTTTACCCATCATCTATTAAAGATTATTGAGTCTCTGTTGACATATGGTACAGGGAAGAGACAGTACCTACCTCAGGGATAGCAGGCCCTATATGCTGAGGAGAGCAGCTACTAATGGGTCTGATTTCATTACTCAGTGGTGCCATGGAAACCAGCAAACTGCAGTGAAAAGCACTTTCTACCATAACGTCATGTAATTAAGATGATAAAATTCAACTTACAGTAATGAATGCATTCTGTTGAGATAACATCACATCTAATTATTATATCTAATTCTTTTACCAGATTTACAAAAATTATAACAGTTTTAACTATCCAAAGCATGGGACTAGTGTTTTTCTAGGACCTCCCGTACTGGTTACTACATCATACCCATGTAATGTACATATATAGCTAACACTTGATCTATCATAACGAGCAGATTCTGAAGTGCTTTTCATGAGGACACAACATAAGTTTTTATGAAAATATTTGAGTCCAGTGAATGAATTAAAATAAAATCCATTCATTGACAAATTTACCATTACCTGTAATTTTTATTGAGAACTCTTGAACATGTGCCTGGATCCAATCCTAACAAGCTCTCACATCTAATGAGGTCCAGCCCCATACTACCAAACTCTGGGTCAGGGGAAAGCTCCTTGTTGTACCTCAGAAACTTGATGGTGTCTCTCAAAGTTACTGCATGGTCAAAGTACCTCTGTGCTTCTCCTTCAGCTGATGCATTAACCTTGGAAAAATTTAATACCCATAAATCAAAGGTAAAGCAGATGCAGTATGTTAAATTTAAGAAATTAAAACAAATTCCTGATTTCTCTCCTTCCTTGGCCTTTTTTGTGAGTTTGCATGCACAGTTTAGCACATGACTTAAGCAGCTTCAAACTGATTCAGTGTAGTTTAAACAGAAAAATTTACCTTATCTAGTTCTGATAAGAAGCTGTCCAGTGACTCATCGTTGAGTTTTCCCACTTCAAACATTGTAACTGCATGGCTCTTCAAACCCTGAAGAAGAAACATGCATACGGCATCTCACAGTTGTATCAAGCTAGATGTCAACTGCTACCCCTGCATCCCAATGCATGCAAGGTACTGCCTGATCACTAGTCAACCCAGGCCTGCATGTTTTTAACATCAGGACTGTATGTTAGACATTCAAAACTCATTTTCAGTATCATATAGCACTTAATAAATTTTCTTTAAAATGTTATTTAATATTTCAAATTAATATTCCAAAATCTTTTTGGTAACAATAACTTAGTCAAATAATATATGTTTTTATTCAATCTATAATCAATTGTTTTACATATATATACATCAAATCTACACTATAGCTAATAAGTCCCCGGTCACTTTAATAGCACACGCTGTCTACATCAGACGCGCTAATGCGCACGTCCCCGACAGTGTTAATGATAGGGGGATTACGATGGACAGCGTATGTTGCTCACAGCAGTAGGCACTGCCGCCGAAGTTAAACCGGTAATTAAGTCTTTAACTTGACTAAACATGTTTTGCTTTGTAACTTGCGTCCTTCAGTCTTGCTGTTGCGGAAGCGCCGGCGGGATATATCTCCACCTTGCCGATATTTATCCCGACTCTCGACTTTAAAAGTATTATTGGTTTTGATTTTATCAAAGTCTTATTATATCAGAAAACCTGCATATTTTCATACGTTAAGAGAATTATAGAAACTGTAGAAAAAGCTACTCGTACATCAGGGATAAAAAACAACACCTTGCAGCACTATTACCTATTATTCATCACCAGATGTTACTGTTTAATTTTTTTGTCCTAAATTACAAAGTCTGATGACAACTGAAAGCCTTTAGCCATACTCAGGGCAGTGGGAGATAGTCTGGATTTGATTAAATGTAATAAAAGTATATTTTGAAGAATTTTCCTAGCCTTCGGCAATTTCCGCAAAGCTTCGGCATGCGCGGCAATACAGAGCTGTCGATATCTGTGTGCGTGAACGATAGAATTGGTGGAACAACGNTAAAAATACAAATAATATAGAAGTACAATTGCATGTCATCATAGCATCAGAATGGGAGAGGCAAAAGTTCATGTGACATGGCACAACAAAACCACAAAATGATATTTTAGTAATAACAAAACACTGAAGCCAATCACTCAATTATGAAATTGAATTTAAAAAATGTGATGTCGAGTTCCCTTTGCAAAAATCATTGAAAAAATCATCGAAAACTTTCCTTTTCAACATTTTATACTTGATAAACAGCTAAAACTTATTTTATAACTATGTATTAAGTTCTTGTCAAATATCTTCCAATTTTTATTCCTTGGGTTAATTAGCTTTGTTTTTCATTTGAATACGATTAACAAAAAGCTTTCAAATGTGATACAGTCACTTGCATACATGTATAAGAACATGTGATGTGAAAGTCACACAAACACACTTTCTTTACCCATCATCTATTAAAGATTATTGAGTCTCTGTTGACATATGGTACAGGGAAAAGACAGTACCTACCTCAGGGATAGCAGGCCCTATATGCTGAGGAGAGCAGCTACTAATGGGTCTGATTTCATTACTCAGTGGTGCCATGGAAACCAGCAAACTGCAGTGAAAAGCACTTTCTACCATAACATCATGTAATTAAGATGATAAAATTCAACTTACAGTAATGAATGCATTCTGTTTAGATAACATCACATCTAATTATTATATCTAATTCTTTTACCAGATTTACAAAAATTATAACAGTTTTAACTATCCAAAGCATGGGACTAGTGTTTTTCTAGGACCTCCCGTACTGGTTACTACATCATACCCATGTAACGTATATATAAAGCTAACACCTGATTTATCAGTAACCAGCAGATTTTGAAGTGCTTTTCATGAGGACACAACATTAGTTTTTATGATAATATTTGAGTCCAGTGAATGAATTAAAATAAAATCCATTCATTGACAAATTTACCATTACCTGTAATTTTTATTGAGAACTCTTGAACATGTGCCTGGATCCAATCCTAACAAGCTCTCACATCTAATGAGGTCCAGCCCCATACTACCAAACTCTGGGTCAGGGGAAAGCTCCTTGTTGTACCTCAGAAACTTGATGGTGTCTCTCAAAGTTACTGCATGGTCAAAGTACCTCTGTGCTTCTCCTTCAGCTGATGCATTAACCTTGGAAAAATTTAATACCCATAAATCAAAGGTAAAGCAGATGCAGTATGTTAAATTTAAGAAATTAAAACAAATTCCTGATTTCTCCCCTTCCTTGGCCTTTTTTGTGTGTTTGCATGCACAGTTTATCACATGACTTAAGCAGCTTCAAACTGATTCAATGTAGTTTAAACAGAAAAATTTACCTTATCTAGTTCTGATAAGAAGCTGTCCAGTGACTCATCGTTGAGTTTTCCCACTTCAAACATTGTAACTGCATGGCTCTTCAAACCCTGAAGAAGAAACATGCATACGGCATCTCACAGTTGTATCAAGCTATATGTCAACTGCTACACCTGCATCCCAATGCATGCAAGGTACTGCCTGATCACTAGTCAACCCAGGCCTGCATGTTTTTAACATCAGAACTGTATGTTAGATATTCACAACTCATTTTCAGTATCATATAGCACTTAATAAATTTTCTTTAACATGTTATTTAATATTTCAAATTAATATTCCAAAATCTTTTTGGTAACAATAACTTAGTCAAATAATATGTTTTTATTCAATCTATAATCAATTGTTTTACATATATATATATTGATTGATAGTTTGTGGACTTGCCCCTGCTACTTCTAAAGATTCAAACACACTGTGTAACTTAATAGACATCACCACACACAGGGGCATCAAATATATCACGTACTGCTTATTAAAATCTGCCAAATGTATCAATCCTATTTGAATAATTTATATATGAAAAACACATCATTTGCTTTTTAGTACAGATAACAGCATGAAATCATACATTTTTATAAGATTCTAAATATACCTGGGGTTGGGGTGCAAAGAAACCTCTTGTTGGTTGCTTAGATGTGTGCACTACCCACACAAGAGCAAAAACTTATCCAATACTAACATAGCAATGATCTAACATTTTGATTGGTACTACTGATTTTCATCATTGTCAGAGGCTCAATGGGCTGGTCATATGACAGGTCAGACAACTAGTTATCTGCTCAAGGGCCCCATCACAGATCAGTACTAAGATTTAATCAATCCTTCTATGGCCACTAAAATTTCTTCCCCCAGGTGCTGTTCTATCTGTTCACAGGGCTTTCCTCTACAACCATCTGAGTAAAAGTTGAAGCACCATTGAACTTTCAAAAAGTTTATTTGAATACAAATTGAAACAAACAGTTTCTCCCATTGAGACAGCATGAACGTCAATAGTGGTTTTATAAGAATCACACAATTTAATTATAATTAAATCAAACAAGATTTTATGGGATTTTGAGGAGAGAGGAGCCAGAAATTATGGCTGCAGTCCAGCACAGAATAAAAACTGACAAAATTTACCAGCTATTATCATGGAAATTAACATGACATGATCAGGTGTGATCTACATAACTTTGTATATTTTGGCACCATTGCTACGTTTTACATGTTTTTGTTTATGAGCTCCTAATTGCAATGTTCCACTAAACAAAAGCATTATTTTACTTTTTTAGTGATAAAATAAAAAGTAAAACTTTCAAGAAAATTTCTTATCAACCTGTAGTACTTTTTGTTGTGATTAAACAGGTATTACAACAGTGTTGATAGCTGTTGAGGTGATACATATTTTCACCCCCAAATACTTTGCTCTTACATCAATAGTTTGAATTGAATAATTTTGTTGCGCGTGACAGCATTATCTCATAACATCACAATGTTCATTTAAGCATTATCTAAACAGACAAATAAAAATTGGAAAATCCTAAAACATCTGCCTTAAGTCACTCATGTATATTACATACAATTTGCTGACAGGCATCCCTTTCACAGGCCTCAACATGCTTCACATCTGTGGATTACCAAAGAGTTTCAGCTGTAGGCCAAATTGCACCAATGTTGGCAATGAAGTTGTGCAAATATCTTGATATACATCTTCATGTGCCATGGTGGCTTACAGATATGCCACTAAATCAATATGATTTCAAACATTTCTGCAGGGACGAAAGACCTCAGTTTAATCCCCTGGAGGAAGTCTTGCTGTAAGGTGTCAAGTTGGCAATCTTATCACAAATATATATTCACTGTGGCCATATATATCTTCCTCACATGTCAAACCCATGCTTTTTCAATACCCTGCAGCACCTAATTATTGCCACAAACTACTGCAGAATACCATTATGGCTATTGGTAATAAAAACTTTTGTTTGGTTGTAAAATCCCAATTGCTTTAAAGAAGGTTGGCTGAGTCATGCCAATATGCATTTGGTTTACAATTCACTTAACATACTTAGTACATACATGAATAAAATATGATAATTATTACAAAAATAATTTCTTTCTTGCAAATAATCAGAATTTTAATACAAATCTATATATGTGATATATACAAAAAGGAATACCCAGACTAAAAAGATTTTTTACTTCCCAATTTTTAATTATCTATACTATAATAAATAGAAACAATAAGGTTATTATGATACATGGCCATACTTTGAAATTATACTTTCTTTTAGGTGTATGGTTTTTGTGTGTCATACCGAAATCCAAAAAGACACCTCACTCCCAAAACTACAACTAAAAGGTGTTTATCCAGGGATACCATCACCCCCAAAACAAACAAACAAGCAAACAAACACATATATTAAACAAGCCAGCAGCTGAAGCTGGCAAATGGACAGACAAACTTTGGCACTGTAAAAATGAAAGATAGACAAAATAATACCACAATATACAAATTTTAGGCCCAGTTATAAAAGCCCAAACTTGTCCTGTAAATGCGAAACCAAATTTATCAAAAACATACCTGCAACAAGAAAAACTCCAACTGTATATCAGTCATAAGAATCATTCATATAAGTCTACATAGTTTGCCTTTTCTTATGTTTATAAAATAAAAATAATAAGGGCACAATATCAGGCATTTGACAATTTAGATACAACATTACATTATGTAATGCTATTAATGTAGGCATTCAAAGTCACAATACCAATCTGGGAAAAATTCACAATAAAAAACCTCAAACTTCAAGAAATTATGATCCAATCAGGTTGAATTTCAAACTCAAGCTGTTACAGTACTATGGTCCTATTACTCATTCCTACAAGCTTGAGAATCAGTACTAATTAGTTTTTTTTATTGTGTTTACAAGCAAAAATTCAAGAAAGTGCATAGAGACACCAATGGTAATGGTGGCGACAGAGATAGGAGATCGATAAATGTCCAGACACAATGTGTCTGTCCATAAAAAATAACCAGCTTCTTATCTTATCAAAGCACACACTGTGAAAAGAACAAACATTTCCCTGAGAGGAAAAAAAATCCCAATAAGCTTTATACACTCTGCATCTTCCTAGGTTTACTTGTGATGCATGTGTAGAAACACCACAAAATAAAGTCACCAAGCGAGATATGCCCACCACCATGACATCTAAATTGAGGCAGCAGAAAAAGAGAAAGATGTATCATAGTATATGTGATACACAGATACTATAACAACAACACCACTTACAGTCCAAGCAGTAAGGAGCTCAGGAGACTGAAGAAGATTCTGAAACATCATTGATTAAACTTTAGAATTATGGCTATTTTCCTTAACAAAATATCACTTCAGCTGCTGTAGTAAATACTTTAAGCTGCATAAATACTGCAAATCTTTAGTTCATAGACATCACAGAAAAAATCAAATAAGTGAGACAAGATTACTCTTACTTTATTTTAGGTTGTACTCTCTTTATTATGTTTGCTAGATAGCAACTTTCAGTCACTTTCAGGGGCGGATCCAGAGATATTTTCTGACAGTCTTCCACATTATATTTGTTGATCCATCCTCCATTTTTTGACCGTCTTCCAACAGAAAAAATTAGATACCCGTCAATGTAAACTTGAAAATCTGACTGTCTTCCGGAAGACCCAGAAGACGGCCTAAATCCACCCCTGACTTTCTACAAACAGTAAAATTGTTCCAAACTGATAAAAAAAATCAGGTCTTTTGCACGAGCAACATTATTTTCATGATTAAAGGATCATAAGTAAGAATATGCTAAAAGTTTATATCATTTTGCCATTTTGAGATTCTTAGTGAAATGATTAATTTTAAACCAACTACTACATATTTGTAATTAGATCTCAGAAAGGCAAAAGCAGTGTAGACAGATTTTTCCTCTAAAGTTTTGAGAAAAAGCATGCAAAATACATCTACCCTCTGTCCAACAAACAAAACACATAAATAACATCTTGGATCTTCCCAGTATTGCTCTCAAAGACTTCACATATATACCCAACCAATGCACAAGTAATGACACCTTTCTATTGGCAAAACTTATTGGTTTCAAGTTATACATATAATTTAACTTTGGAAAATAGCTATTAATAGACATCTAATAGTTATCGCCTTCTTTACATTTTACCAACCAATTAGTAGAAGTGTGTGTTTGTGTGTATGTGAATGTGTGTTCATGTGCGCACATTTGTGGGGGGTTGGGGGATGCCTCCTTTCTCAAATTGATCAATAATTATTTTAGTTTAAAACATATGGATAAAAGTCTAGTTACCAATGGTAGTTATCATTCAGTCACTAGTTTTACCCACAGCTAAATGGAGATTAAGACACTGGAGTGCCTATGACACAATGATGTGACTATGTTAAACAATGTAGCAGAGCAATAGTTTTGCAATTTGAGGACAAAATAACATTTTCCTTTAACAAGACATTCTCTATTCTAACACTATCATAATGATGACTGTTGTGCTCCATCTGCCCTTAAGAAAAAGAAATACTATTTTTGGGGGGTAAACACATTACAGAACTTGTGTTATTTTGTAATGTCCAAAATGCATCCAATAGTTAACAAATATAATTTTCCCTACTCTTGTATAAACTGAAGGCCAACTGTCTGAATGTACTTACTGGAGACAAGTTCCCCATCATAAGAAATGCAGTCAATGTTGAGTCAAACAGAAAACCAATCCGCTTTGAATGTCCTGCATTCATCAGACTGTTGGCATCTGAAAACACCCACATGTTTTAGCTAATTATGGTCCAACATACATCTTTCACTTATATTGTAGAATATCTCCAACAAAAACCTTACACAAAATGTACTTAGCAGTTATGCAACAAAGAAATGCATTAAAAAGAGCACCAGCAATGATTTCAGTATGACAGAAAAGAACAAGCTGTTAAATAAACAATCATCCAAAAAACATCCTCCATTACACTGTGCCTTTTTGTTCACCAAGTTAATAAACAATATGCCATCATGAAGAACTTATATTTAGTTAAGTAGACGTTACAGTATCACCATTCATTTTATCAAAAGAGATTCTAGACAAATCTAGGTATCACATTACCTATTCCTCCCTCTAGGCTGGTAGTGGAGGAGGTCTCAGATGGAGGCTGTTGCTCATTTATAGCAGAGCTCCAGTCAATCAACATTTTTTCTTCAGTGCCAGTGGACCTAATCAAAAAATTTCTACTCATTACTGCCATCTATAAAAACCTTTGAAACTGCCCTTCTTATGTACCATTTGAAATAATGGACCAGACAGACTAGGTATAAAATTTTCACATGAGAAACACATCTTATTTCAACACCAACAAAGCTTTACTATCATTTTATGTGACAGTCTCAGCTCAACTTCATTTCACCTAAAGAAGACCTTGAGAAAAGGCTAAAACATAGTGATCTCTGTTTCAAATGCAAGCTCTAGTACGAGATTCGATTATTATTCCAACTTTATCCTACTTTCCTATGGTGCTATAAAAACACTAACAGTTACTTCTTTTCACATAGTTCTAACAAGTTGATGTGAGATCATACCGTTTGGGTCTGTCTGCTTCCTGCCAGCTTGGGTCCATGAGTTCTTCAGGTAAATCAGGGTTCTTTTTCTTGGCAAAACCAAGACGGCAATACATTGACACTGCATTCTGGAACAGTTCAAATGCAGCATTGCAGTTATCACAAAAATGCTCTTTTACTTCTTTTTACTAAACAAAGTATAACTTGATAAAATCTTGTCTGAGACTTTTTAATGAAAACAGACTACAATTTAAAGATAGTCACAACATATAATAATATAGTGTCAAAAAATATGCAACCAACAGACAGTCACCGAATTTAATATCATCAAATAAATAAATAAATAAAATTTTCTACCATTAATGAACTTACTTTCACTAGTGGTAAATCTATCTGAAGTACGTTGGCCAGCTGGAAAATACAACAATCAAATTTCAATTATAGTTCTTAGTCATAAATTAATAATAATTAAAAATTCACTATAAAAAAGGAGAACAAAATATTGCTTGATAATAGTGTATCATCTGGTACTTGTCTTCAGATCTAAAAAATGCAACTGTTCAGTCTCTTCAAAAGCTATATGGTCTCTAAGACTGGGTTCCCACAGATTTAGATCGATCCATCTGGATCGACCAACTCCCACGGGGTTCAAGCTAAATTGCTATCAGCTTCCGGGAGCCGAGCGCAAACCAAAGTTAACTAGAGGATCAGAGAGGCGATACCGCCTCCGAATATTGTACCACCAGCTGGAGTAAGCTCATTCATATAGACCCCCACATACACAAAATAAGGGCCACCAGTCTTGTGCTTGACAAGCTGTAAAAATGCAATCAACAAGAATTTTCAAAATATGCAAAAAATATATATAACTAAAAATGGTACAATCAAAGTTTAGTTCATCGTAAGGTAGGTCAAAGGTCAATTTCAAGGTCACAGTAAATTGCCAGTATATGACTTAAAAGAGAAAGAAATAAGCAGAGTTCAGTTCCTGATAATAAGTAGGTCAAAGGTCAAGCCAGGATATGACTTCCCATTCAAGTTCAATAGTAACTATGGACCTATCTCTGCCAGTTTTGGAGATAAAAGGGAACCAAAATTTGCAAAGTTTAGTTCATGGTGAAAAGTAGGTCAAAGGTCAATTTTAAGGTCATATTTAGATTGCCAGTATATGACTTCCTATTCAAGTTCAATAGTAACTATGGACCTATCTCTGCCAGTTTTGGAGATAAAAGGGAAGCAAAATTTGCAAAGTTCAGTTCATGGTGAAAAGTAGGTCAAAGGTCAATTTCAAGGTCACAGTAAGATTGCCAGTATATGACTTCCTATTCAACTTCAATAGTAACTATGGACCTATCTCTGCCAGTTTTGGAGATATAAGGGACTAAATGTTATAATTTTGGAGTTACCATAATGTGCCATAAATTTCCTACAGAAAAAATTAATTAAAATTAAGAAAAGGTCATTTTGGTCAAAATTCTTGAAATGTGAGGTGCTCTGAAGTTCCAGAAGTTCAAATTTGATGAAATAATGTCATTTTTGACCACAAGTTGTCTGCTTTGCCAAGCCTTATGTTTTATTTTTCCAGAGTTCAAAATTTATTATCCATTACCGTACTGTACATTTTGCTGTCACCACCAATATGTACTTTTTGATACATGGTAACTCGAAAACCGTATGGAATACAAAAAAACGGAGACCACCCCCAGTGTTGGGCTTTACATGCTCTACAAAATGCAAAAAAGAATGGGTCTCTAGCATTAACGGTTCCCGAATTAGAGACAGTTTTCAGTTTCGGTATCTTATGGCCGCTACTCCTGTGAAAATGCACCGATTGACGCCAAATTCACGGAGATGAAAGATGACCTGAAGGGTAACACTTTCCAATAATATTATTGGTTAAGTCTGTGTGGTGTCTGAATAACAGCCCAAATATTTTTTTTTTCGTAAAAAAATTCATTTTTTTGAAAATTTTGGCCCATTTGACCTTGAAAAAAAGGTCAAAGGTCAAGTCCAAGGGCAAATTTGAAATCTACACATATGACTTTTGGAAAGCCGTCTGTAGAAATTTTTCCCATTATTCCTTCCGTAGGGTAGATAATTAGCATTTAATTTTGCCATTTTTAGACAAGGGTGCATTGCAATGAGTGCCACACCTAGACCCCAATACCGACAAAGCCCAAATTTTACGTGGAACGAGTTGAGGTTATAGGTGACCTAAATCCAAGTGATGGGTACGGGGGCCCTTACCGTCTAGGAGGAGAAGCGGTATCGGTAGCCATCCGGCGGGGCCAGCGGAACGATCCGGACGGGACTAAAACCATGTGTACCGCCAGCGCTAACACTGGTGGTACAATTACCCCCTTACAGCTTTAGTAGGCGGGACAGACATTTAAGCCAGTTAAGCTGACAGCAAACTAGTGAGACTCCCCAGGGGGATAAATATTGATCAATCTAAATATCTTTGGGAATGGTCTCTAACTTTTCTAGCCCAGATAAAAATTAAATAGTTATCTTTCCTTTTTGAAAAAAAATATTTCACATACAAGGACACCAATGCCACTTATTTTGTATAAAAAAAGCTTAACACTGATAAATTTGTGACAAAATCTACCACGCACAATTTTAAGAGATATAAACACATCTGAAATTAAACCCAACTGATAATATTACAAAATGACCCATACCTCTGCTACACTGGTATGCTCATCAATAGACACAAATATCTTGTACAGCAAGGTCTCAAGGTAGTCTCCTAGCACCCTGTTCATAACAAACCCTTCCAATGGTGGGACTGAAAAGTGGTGAAACTTCATTCACAATCTATGTTGACTTTAAAGAACTGATGAAACCCAACACAACAATATGGTATTAACATGTACGCAAACAAACAATCATTTGAAAAAAAATTAATAATTCATTACACAATATTTCTTTTTCTTTTGGGACAATGAAATTTGAAAAAAAAAACTATTTTACAATAAGTCTATTTCATTATATTTTATTTATTCAAGAAATCATCAAGCATACCTATAAAACAATCATCATCTGCAATTGGGCAGTCTAAATAAATAAGACCCTTTTTATATAGTTCTGAAATTGAAAAAAACATTAAAATTACTCAATAATATATGAAACTCAATTCAAAATATGTATCTATTTGCAAAAAAACTTGCAAACTGACTTTATACTACACCAGCCTTTATCTTTGGCTTGCATGAGCAGTAAATGAGATTTCTGTTGTCTTAAAGGGTAACCTCACTTTATGAAGAGTAAAAACAATTAAAATGATAATTTCTGGTTAATTGCAGTCATTTTTCCTTCACTCTGATCACTTCTAGAGAAACAGGGTTGTCAATATTGACACCATTGGTACAAGTGTATAACTCTGCCTGTTGTATTTACAGACGTCATTGGCATTTTTCACAAATATTTCACATATACTGCACCAGTGACTTAAGGCTTAGCACATGTTGTTTCTAGAACTGTCACAATTTCTGCATTCTTACTGTGAATGGTTTTACATTCCATGGTTCCTGCCTGCTGGCCTCCACCATCTATGATAAAATCTATAGCTTCCTTCATTACCTGTGAACAAGTCTGGAACATAAACAAAAGTTGCTATTTACATGGCCTATTAAGTTATATGTGCTAAGAAGAATATACTTAAACAATTTCAAAAGTTACAAACTTCTTGAGGAAGGAATTCTCAGTACCAGTTTTAACATTGCTTTGAAATCCAGAGCATTCATGCCATTCCTAGTGGCAGGAGCAAAAATACTGTTTCCCTTTAAACTTAAATCTATTTAAAGTGACTGTCTTTACTTTAACATCTTCCTCAGTGATGTACCCTGCCTGAACAGTCCACCAAGGTTCAATGTTGATGTCTATAGGCTGCAAAGGCACCAAATCCTTTGCGGATTTTTTTCTGAAGAATTTCTGAAAATATCACATCATAACTGACTGAGCAAGGCAAACTTAGACAGAATGTATGTCATAGTGGAAATGTCAAAACAGTGAGCATTTTTAGTTACAATCATAATGATTGAAAAAAGCCTCACTTTTGAAGATCTGCATTGATTCATAAGCTCAATGTACTGGTTTCTTCCAATGCCTAAGAGTCGGAGGCCTGAAAAATATCAATACCACTGTATATATGCATTTCATCAATGCAATATTTGAATATAAAAATACAATGAATAAATCTAAACAACATCAACTTAAAACTTGCAAAATTGGTTTATGCTTTATAGAATGAGTGGACTAAAGAAATTGATCCAAAAATATAAAGAAATTATAAAAGGTTCTCGCTTCTTTAGATTAAGTTGCTGTTGATATAGAAGAGAATGTTTAGTAATCCCTTAGAGCGCATTCTCAACGAATTAAGCCAGGCTTTACAAAGCCGGTGACCTAAAAATGGCAGACGTACATGAAAGAAAAACCGCCTAATCTTTTAATAGTCTCTCCGCCTCCCCACACGTCGTCCCTGCGGGGTACAGTAATTAAATCTCGGCTCCGTTCGCCATGCGGAAGCTACCTGAGAAATATTAAGTACGCATGCTCATCAGTTAAACTCGTGGGGAAGAAAGCATGGTGGCTGAAGGCGATCGAAGGAAAAAAGCTCTTCTGTTCTATTATCTTTGAAAACAGAGACGAAAAAGGAATAATTTGGCCCGTAGAGCAGCAATGAATCGACTATCTA